CTTTGACTAGGTGGACCTTTGTCGGCAAGGCTATGTCTCTGCTCTTTAAGATGCTATCTAGGTTTGTCGTCGCTTTCCTCCCAAGAAGCAGGTGTCTTTTAATTTCGTGGCTGCTGTCCCTATCTGCAGTGATCATGGAGCCCAAGAAAGTAAAATCTGTCACTGCCTCCATATCTTCCCCTTCAATTTGCTATGAGGTGACGGGACCAGTGGCCATGATCTGAGGTTTTTTGATGTTGAGCTTCAGACCATTTTTTGCGCTCTCCTCTTTCACCGCCATTAAGAGGTTCTTTATTTCTTCCTCACTTTCTGCCATCAGAGTGGTATCATCTGCATATCGGAGGTTGTTGATGTTTCTTCCGGCAATCTTAATTCCGCCTTGGGATTCCTCCGGTCCAGCCTTTCGCATGATGTATTCTGCATGTAACTAAATAAGCAGGGAGACAATATACAGCCTTGTCGTACTCCTTTCCCAATTGTGAACCAATCAGTTTTTCCATATCTAGCTCTAACTGTTGCTTTCTGTCCCGTGTATAGATTTCTCAGGAGATAGATAAGGTGGTGAGGCACTCCCATTTCTTTAAGGACTTGCCATAGTTTGCTGTGGTCCGCACAGTCAAAGGCTTTTGCATAGTCAATGAAGCAGAAGTAGATGTTTTTCTGGAACTCTCTGGCTTTCTCCATAATCCAGCGCAGGTTAGCAATTTGGTCTCTAGTTCCTCTGCCCCTTCGAAATCCAGCTTGTACTTCTGGGAGTCCTCCGTCCACATATTGCTGAAGCCTGTCTTGGAGGATTTTGAGCATAACCTTGCTAGCGTGTGAAATGAGTGCAGTTGTACGGTAGTTGGAGCATTCTTTGGCACTGCATTTCTTTGGGATTGGGATGTAGACTGATCTTTTCCAGTCCTCTGGCCACTGCTGAGTTTTCCAAACTTGCTGCCATATTGAGTGTGGCACCTTTACAGTGCCATCTTTTAAGATTTTAAATAGTTCAACTGGAATGCCATCACCTCCACTGGGCTTGTTGTTAGCCAGGCTTTCTAAGGCCCACTTGACTTCACTCTCCAGGATGTCTGGCTCAAGGTCAGCAACCACACTATCTGGGTTATCCGGGACATCCAGATCTTTCCAGTATAATTCCTCTGTGTATTCTTGCCACCTCTTCTTAATGTCTTCTGCTTCCGTTAGGTCCCTCCCGTTTTTGTTCTTTATCATGTCCATCTTTGTACAAAATGTTCCTTTAATAGCTCCAATTTTCTTGAACAGATCTCTGGTTTTTCCCTTTCTATTATTTCCTCTATATCTTTGCACTGTTCATTTAAGACGACCCTCTTGTCTCTCCTTGCTATTCTTTGGAAGTCTGTGTTCAATTTTCTGTAACTTTCCCTATCTCCCTTGCATTTTGTTTCCCTTCTCTTCTCTCCTATTTGTAAGGCCTCATTGGACAGTCACTTTGCTTTCTTGCATTTCCTTTTCTTTGGGATGGTTTTTGTTGCTGCCTCCTGTACATTGTTACGAGCCTTCGTCCATAGTTCTTCAGGCACTCTGTCCAACAAATCTAGTTCCTTACATCTGTTCTTCACTTCCACTGTGTACTCATAAGGGATTTGGTTTAGATTATACCTGACTAGCCCAGTGGTTTTTCATACTTTCTTCAGTTTAATCTTGAATTTTGCTATAAAAAGCTGATGATCAGAGCCACAATCAGCTCCAGGTCTTGTTTTTGCTGACTGTATAGAGCTCCTCCATCTGTGGCTGCAGAGAATATAATCAATCTGATTTCAGTATTGCCCATCTGGTGATGTCCATGTATAAAGTTGCCTCTTGTGTTGTTGGAAAACAGTGTTTGTGATGACCAGCTTGTTCTCTCAAGAAAACTCTATTAACCTTTGCCCTGCTTCGTTTTGAACTCCAAGGCCAAACTTACCTGTTGTTCCTTTTATTTCTGGACTCCCTACTTTAGCACCCCAGTCCCCTATAATGACAAGAACATCTTTCTTTAGTGTCAGTTCTAGAAGGTGTTGTAAGTCCGTGTTATGGAACAGCAAATGTTAATTTGAGGAAAGTGTGTGAAAGGTGCAATTGTGATGACTACATGGACATAGATTTTATCCCTTATCTCCCAAAGTCCCAGGTAAAACCTCAGTAGACATTCTTTTGGAAAGGAAAGTCCAGAATGCACATATCTGAAAATCATTTAAAACGAGCAAGTTTGCAACAGGTATCCATACCTTATTTCTTTGCTTGCCCAGGCTGAATCAAAATGTGTTCTGCCCCATTGTTCTGTATAAAAGAAAATTTGAGATGAATACTCAAAATTCTACTGGGTTACCTTAAATAGGAAGTGAATTAATGACACCTAACAGTACTATCACAGGAAAGGAATCTGACTGAGATTTCTTTTTTGGATTCTGATGCCTGAGACAGTCATGTATTAAGTTGCATGGTATGGAAATGCTTGATATTTACATTACTGCTTAAAGGAAAAGCATCTCAGTACTTCCCAGTTCAAAGGACAGGCACTTGAGTATAAACACTCTAAGTGAAAGCCACATTTCTTCTACATATTGAGATTGTTTGTGCCCCACACAGTAACTAGAGAACTAGCTAAGACTAGTTGAAATAAAACCATGAGAATTACTGCGTGTTTGAGTTAGAAATAATACACTGATGAAAAAACTTTTTGGAATTTTCCCTCGCTTGGTGTTTGTTTGTAAAAGTTAGTGAGAACAAGAAGGGATCCTGTCCACAATCTTGATTGCTGACATTGATGTCATCAGCGTTCAGGCTGGCCCTTCCTATGTAAAGCTTTACTTACTTTTCCCTGCTGGCATCATGTTGCAAGGCGATATTGGGCCACTTCCTGATGTTTTGAATCATGGTTATAGAAACAATAACCCATATTCATAAACCATAGGGTTTGGGTGTGTGTGTGTTGAAGGATTGAATAAATGTAGACATATCTGCTATGAGCATTTCCATATCTTGGAAAGGCCCAATGGCCATGGTGCCTTGATGGTTCTGGTGACTGTAATCCAAAACAATATTTTTCTGTGCTCTGTGAAATTCGTGCAGTGACCTTAGGAAGGTCAATCTTTTTGCCTAACCTACCTCATAAGACTGATGTTGTTGGAATGATGAAGTGGGGTGGAGAAGAGCCATGTACAAATGTTCTGTAAAGTGATGGTCTTCTATGGCTTAAATGATGTGCTTATTGCCACTCCTCCTTTTGGAAAAAAATGCAAAGGGATTTACCCTCTAGGGATACAAAAAAGAGGGGGGAAATATCAAAATATTATTGTACATATTTTTAGGAAGAAATAAAAGTGGAACTGGTAGGCTGTGATCTAAAATCAATTGTCTTTAAAAATGCAGGTTATCCCCGGACTTATTTTAGCATTTCTTTCAAAAAAAAAAAAAAAAAAAAAGAGGAGGAGAAATTTGTCTTGCAAAAGAGAGAGAGAGTGCAGAGCTATTGGCTCACTAGCACTTTCTTACGCTGGCCTACCTCACAGGATCGTTCTGGGGCAGCAAGAGAGCCATGTATGATACTGGTTGATGTCTCCATGACCTGCTCTGCTTTTCAGGGTCTTCAAGGAGGGGAACAAATCTCAGGGTGTGTGCTGACAGTAGAGAAACAGAATGTTTGATTTTTGTGTGAGAAAATTTTAAAGCCAGGCCGCCCATCATCACCCTCCAAAGCTGGGACCAGAATTGACTGGTGTTTAAATGTGTGTTTGGCTTGTGCAAAGTTAACACACCTAAAGGCCAAGCGTGAGCGCTGTTTCCAAAATCAGTTTTGTCCCATGTCTCTCTGCTCTCACCTGCCCCATCTCTCTGACATCACAAGGACCCACCCCTTGATCTCAGATTTTGGCCATGAAATGTCAGGGAGAGGAATGCTGCTGACTTGGCAACTTTAATACTCAGAACTACTGAGTATTAAAGGACTGTTAAAGATGTAAAGAAACAAGAGGAGAGGGATGCAAGGCTGCTTGAGGTGAATTGCAGATAAATCTGTGAAGATTCTCAATCATCAAGGTGAGGTTATCTGGAAGCTGAGTCATGGCAACTGGACTTCTTTCTTATTAAGTTGAAACGTTTCGCTACTCATCCAATGTGGGAATGTATGCCATAGCTAAACATATAAAGGTATTTCTTGTCATGTTAATATCCATGTTGTATGAACCATGTTGATCTCCTCATGTGATGTAATATGGTGTGTTACTGAGCAGAGCGTCCTATTGGCTCATGTAAACCTGACAGTTGATGTTATGTAACCGGTAAGAGAATAAAAGGAGGTGCCAGGCATCATTGGGGAAGCTGATATCACAGAGAGCTGAGCTGTCTTCACAGAGAGCTATTATCACTGAACCATTTGAACAGCAACTTCAGCCAATGATCCTGAGCACGCTTTGAAAAGATTAATTCGACTGCAGTCTCCTTATTTCAGAGGTCTCTCCCTCCGGAACCTTTCAGGGACCTCTCCCATCACCACAGGTTGTTGGAGCCGGATTCCAACAAGTGGTGCCCTGCGTGAGGCCTACTCCACTGTGTGAGGCCTACTTAACAGTGTGAGGCCTACTCCACTGTATGAGGCCTACTTAACAGTGTGAGGCCTACTCCACTGTATGAGGCCTACTTAACAGTGTGAGGCCTACTCCACTGTATGAGGCCTACTTAACAGTGTGAGGCCTACTCCACTGTATGAGGCCTACTTAACAGTGTGAGGCCTACTCCACTGTATGAGGCCTACTTAACAGTGTGAGGCCTACTCCACTGTATGAGGCCTACTTAACAGTGTGAGGCCTACTCCACTGTGTGAAGCCTACATCACAGTGTGAGGCCTACTCCAGCGTGTGCAGCCTACTTCAGCGTGAGGCCTGCTTCTCAGCGTGAGGCTCCCAGAAGCTAAGAAGACCGGTGGAAGGTCACTCCCTCACCCACGTCCGGCAAGGATTACAGCGCGCGCCTCGCATCTTTTTAGATCCCGGGTGAGTGTTCCAGTCAAGTAAGAAACACACAATGGGCTCATCATTATCAAATTTTCATCAAAAACACGCAGCAGACCTACACTTCCTTCTTACAAGAAATGGACATACAGTAACCAAAAGCGAAGTGGAAAATTTGGTCAGAGCTATTGATGATGTATGTCCATGGGTCCCTGAAGGGGGAACCCTGAAATTAGAAGATTGGACAAAAATTGGCTGTAATTTTCAGGGCCATCCACACGTTACTGCAAAAGTGATGTTCACCTGGTGTAAGGTTTGTGCATGTTTAAAAGGCCTTATGCCAAGCAATATTTTGTTTAATCAGCAACAAGAGGCTGACTGTAATGCAATGTCACTCCCTCAGTTGCTTCCTCCAGTGCCATGCTTACTATTTGCACCACTACCTCATTATGAGCCTCAAAAAGACCCACCACGCAAGTCACCAAACTATCAGGAGGCCATGAATGTATCGGGAAACCAGCCACCAGAAATGAAGGCTGAAGCTGTTAGCAAGAAACCTGACTCTAAGAATGATGTACCTTTAGAAAACTTGGAGACATCTTATATATCCATTGCATGTGACTTAGTTAAAGAAACAAAGGACTCTGATGAATGTGCTTCACCAGCCTTTACAGATTACTCCAAGATGATGATTCCAGAATTTGTTCCACATCCTGTGCCCGAGTATACCGAACATACTGAGAAGGCATCACTGCCCTCTGGAAATAGTGACACAGTGAGGAGCCAGCCAGAATTTGGTTCTGGTGAGGAGGAAGAAGCTGTGCAAGAGAAACCACTTGAAGCTACTGCCAAGATTGCACCAAAAGGAGTTCAGGAAGAGGTATCTCCTTCCCTTAGCAAGCCCTACTTGGAATCCTTCCAGCCTCCGTTGGAACCATCCAAAAACGAACCCACTTCTTGGTTTCTGGATGCAGAGGCTGCAGATCTGCCTAAGAAAGAGAAGATTCCTCAGCTGCAAATGGAGAATACTTATGCAGATGATGTCTCTGTTTCTACGGAGCTCAAAAAGGTGGATAAAATGGTGGTGTCCATAGAATCCTCTCCAGAGACTGAAGACCTCCCCACGGTCCCTTATCAAGCTGCTAAGGTGGTGGCAGGAGCTACAGAAAAAGTCACATTAGGGAACAGTAAAGTCAGAGAGCCTGGTGATAGTGTTGTCAAAGCTGAAGAGAGACAGTCTCCTTACCAAGCTCTTGCCCAGATAGCAGATCTGTTCTACAAAGCTTGCACCAGATGTTGTCAGCTTTCTGGACTTGATATTCAATCTGTGTATTCTTCCTTTCCACAGGGCGACGTGGTGAGACTTTTGCAAACTTGTTCCACATTCCAGGTTGCTTTTGCTGATTTCGTAGGGACTGTTCTCCCTATCCCACCAAAGGACAAAAGGCTAACATTTTTCTCTACTGTTTCTTACTCTTTAACCACTTGCTTTTCTCCCCAGCCATTAG